TTCAAAAATCAAGCCTTTCTGTTTTGCATGTGGTCAGAAGCCTTTTAACATTTTAAAGCTAAGCCTTTGCTGTAGAAACAATGTTGGTTTCAGTGCCACTATTGAGTTGCGGCCGTGATTTGGACGGAGGGACTCTGCAACTGCTCGGCTGCTGGCGTGCCGCGTGCTTTGAGGTGCTGCATGCTTTGAGCATGGTAGGGAGGTGAAGCGAGGGGGAATTTCTAGCTCTTCCCGTGGCTCGCCTTCCTGAGCGTGTGAACACAGAGTCGCAGCAGTTGCCGGTATCAACTGTCGCAAAGAAAACTTTCAGTATATTCATATTGCAAGAAACTTACTTAAAAGCATTAACTGTTGGTCAGTTTGAGAGTCTAAAGAACGATCTTCCCCTTCTACTTTGGAGAGCAGAGTAGGTTGGAATCCTAAACCAAATATATTAATCCTCTATCATATTTCCCGAGAAGAAGGGGATTCAGTAAAATCTGTCAGTTATCATGAGAGGTTGTGAAAGCTTCGTCAGACCCTTTTTCTCTTTAATAGTTCAGGAAACGAGATTATCTTTCTAATAGCATTCATAAAGATTATCATCTGTATACTCTTTTAATGGCATCGTTAGAGGAAGTTTGGTTCATCTATTTTATAAGAGCATCATCCTCAGCAGCTCAGTCCATCTCTCAGCATTAGTTATCCAAGTGAAAATAACATGCCAGTCTCCAGTGTGCTTTATCACTGGGACAGCTGCCTAAATAGATGAGACTTCAGTAATAATTTTTTTCCCAAATAAAACATCAGTGGGAGCATTAGTTAAGCGTGACACCATCTGAATACATTCTCAGGCTCGGAATAACAAGTGATATTCTTTATTGTACACATAGCATGTAATTTGGATACAAAAATACCTCTTGTGGTAAAGCTATGTTTTATCTCCTAACAATTCATGTCAACTGTAAGACTAAGCTGGAATTGTGAAAAGCATAAACGTGATGTCATATCTGAGGTTTGCATATTGCTGGTTTCTTTCTAATTCTCATATAACTTGGGCAGACTTACATCATCTTTGTATGCCATGCTTCAGTGCACGTCGGTCCTGATGCACATTTGTGTTAGGATCTGCTTTGGAGAAACAGATTCTGAAATGCCAGGAAATAACTGAAGTGCTGCTTGCTGGCATTCTGCCTACCTTGGTGGGGAAAAAAAAAAAAAGGCTGATGGGTCTACAGGATCACCGTTTCCTCACATTGGTTTAGATGGCTACTGAGCATATTTTTTTGGTAAGGAAATAGGAGTAAGGCTTCCAGAACTTACCAGCAGCATTCCCAAGCCTCCGTTCTGCTTTGTTGACCACCATCTACCATTGGGACCTTTGGTTTCAATCCCGGGGAAGGGACAGAGTCATCAAGCATGAAGCTGCATGGCAGCTGATGACCAGTGCTGTAGGGATGGACCAAAATCTCTGGTGTGTTATATAGGGACGAGAGATCTAGAAAGAGACATCAGGCAGTAGCAGAGGACGAGGATATGGAGGCATCTGGATGAAATGCTGCTCGTGTGCTATGGGGAGAGGCTCAGTAGAAAGCTGGCAAAGGCCTGTCCGCAGCCCAGTTAGGCAGCTGCTTCTGCTGCTGGAGTTAGCTAATGGGATTGTGTAAGCATCCTGATCTTAGGAACCCCTTTGCCCCAAAACTGTGCTGTCAACTGGCTGCTGACTTTCAAAAATGAGGTAATTTTTTGGTGGAGGTAAAACTCTTTGTGTCCTAGCCACTAAGGGCAGTACTGCAGAGGTGCCCATATCGTCTGTGCTCGAGGTACCAGCTCTGGAGCAATTACCAGCGTGGGGAAGAACCCTGCAGCTCTGCCAACTAAGCAGGTTCTGTACCACAGCCTTGGGTGTAGGATGTTCACAGCGATCCGATGGCCTGTGTTTCTTTTAATGAACAATGTTCCATTTCTCTTTGATTGTAATGCAGAGAAAATCCGGCAAGATTAGACAGATGGGGAAACAAGAGTGCTGTATTGCTTCTGTTATTCTCTAAATGGTAGCTCATGATTATTACACTCTTTACTCAATCATTATGCTCTGAAATGGACAATAAAGATGAAGAATTGCTGTTTGTTATGCTATATGGTCTCTGGAGTGCAGTGCTGTTTATGCTCTCAGAATACAAGATTTAGTTTGCTGTTATGATAGATACTAGTTTTATTATATCGATGAAATTATAAACTGAGCTTGCTTAAGATGTAATGTCTTCTGTGAATTTCTACGCAAGGTTATATTTCTTTTTTTTTTTTCTCCCCTCACAAGATTAATACTACAAGTAAAACTCAAATGTGCACTTTTGTGATAAGCTAGGATATCAACTGCGGAGCGAACAAGTATTCTTATAATCTTCGTTGGCATCAGAGAGACTGTTCACTTCTCAGTAGAACTTTGTGATAGCTTCAGAAGAGTCTGCCAAGGCCTCAGAAGTGATTTTTTTCAGGAGGTTTTTACATATTTGGTTTTGTTACTGTTCCTTAAAATGCCGATATTTTACCCGTGGAACACATTGCAAGACTGTTCATCCTGAATAAAGATATGCATATCTGTGTGATGTTAGTAGTCTTACATAAAATGGACTATCTGCAACAATATGGTAAAGAGCTGAGGGAATAATTTAAATTTCAGTCTTTTTTTTTTTGGTGAATATTTCATTGGAAGCTAATAGTGGGAATATAAATAGAATCAGATGCTGAAGTTGCAGTTCTGTCAATTTAAAAAAAAAATTTTTTTTGAATAGACAAATTAAATTTTAAATAGTGTACTGGTTTCTGAAAATACCAGTTGAGGCATTAGATTCCTGATCTTGTTTTGTAAAATATAGACAGCTGAAAAACTTACCATGATATCGCAGAAGTTGAGCTGAACAGATCTGAGATAATGTAACTGGTTCCTAGACCATCAAGTAGAAAGCATTTGCACAATACAGTGAAACTTTTTTTTTTTTCCCCAAATCTGTCTGCTCTACAGGGTGAAAAAGGCGGTTTGTGTATATTTGCAATATGTATGAGCTATCAAAGAGATCCCCATGATCCTGTGCTACAGCACACACAAGAGCAGACTTCTAAGACTGTGCGGTGATGGTACAGGACACCTGTTCAGAAGTCTGAGGAGGAGATTGCATTGCTGGAGCAGGGCCAGAGGAGGGCACGAAGATGCTCAGGGGGCTGGAGCCCTCCCCTGTGAGGCCAGGCTGAGAGAGTTGGGGGTGTTCAGCCTGGAGAAGAGAAGGCTCCGGGGAGAGCTTATAGCGGCCTTCCAGGGCTTAAAGGGGCTGCAGGGAAGATGGGGAGGGACTCGTTATCAGGGGGTGCAGGGATAGGACGAGGGGTAACAGGTTTCAATTAAAAGAAGGTAGATTTAGATTAGACACAGCAAGAAATCCTTCCCTGTGAGGGTGGTGGGACACTGTCCCAGGCTGCCCAGAGAAGCTGTGGCTGCCCCCTCCCTGGCAGGGTTCCAGGCCAGGTTGGACGGGGCTTTGGGCAACCTGGGCTAGTGGAAGGTGGCCCTGCCTGGGGCAGGGGGTTGGAACTAGATGATCTTTAAGGTCCCTGCCAACCCAAACCAGTCTGTGATTCTACGCTTCTGTCCTGGTGAGCCTTACACCTTTGGTGGTATGATGGTCATCTGCCTTCACGGGATGAGGTGGAATGGTGTTTGTCCCCTCTACTGTCCCCTTGCTCTACCTAAACCCATCATGACTCTTTTCTCCGAGAAGAGTCTCCCGGGCAATGCCTGAGGACAGCAACGCTTTTTGTAGCAATTTTTTATTTCAGAGAGGTGAGAACTTTAACGGAGTTGTTTTCCTGTCTTTGGCTTCTCTACCGTGTTTAACTGACCGCAGCAGAACCGGGTGTATTAAATTCAAGTATGATTTGACCTGATAGTTCACCCTTCAGTTGTGCCATGCGATTGGCATGAATCCAGATCGATGGTGTAATCAGGAGACAAAATGTTGTAGGGGCTCAGTTGCAGAGATCTGCAGAGAGCTGTCCCTTTGACACAGCCGGGGCCAAGAACGTTCTCCTGTAGGAAACCCGGCATTTAAAAACTGTGAATTTCTTGAGATTTGAAGTAGTAACAACGTGAGAAAGGACAACGGCTGTCTTTGAAATGTCAGCTTTTTAAATAACTCTTCCAAAAAAATGTTCTGAGTTTAGGAACTTTAATTTTCTTCGTGAAGACTTCATATTCGATCAAATCCTGCTGTTCTTTACGACAGCGGGATTCCGGGTAATTCATTTTTTTTTATCTTTACTATGAGTTAAGAGGGAGCAAGGTTTGTGATGTTTCCTTCTGTGACGGGGAGTATATAACATACAGAGCACACAGAACATGTTATGTATGTCATATACCCCTCCTCCCAGAAGGGCCGGCAGGAATCCCCGGGGGAAAGTTCTGTGCTTGAGCGTCTACAGCAACAGGAGGAGCGCGGTGAGGGAAGGACGCGGATGTTTTCCTCCCAGCACGGGCCGGTTCCTGTGGCAGGACGGAGCCTGAGCGTGCGGTCGGCGACGAAGCCACCGAGAATCCCTGACACCTGGGCCAAGTCCCGTTCAGAATCGCTCCGTGCGGGCGGGCAGGGCCGGGCAGCGGGCCCCCCCCCGCCGCTTCCCCA